CGCTATAGTGTGCGCAGACCGAGAAACTCTCTCTCGGACCCCCCCAACAAGCTTTCGGCTGACCTGAATTGCCTCCTGGCGGCTCAGGCCGAGCCTACATAACACATCCCTTAATCTGCCTTAGTTAGGCACACTTCTAAGCGGCTTTTCGCCGCTTGCGCCCTCCTTTCTGCCAAGGAGGGTCGCGTTCGTATACGGCTTAGAGATCTCTCGTCAGATCAGTAAGCCAATCCCTAAAGGCAGTGTTTAGTGGGTAAAAGTCTCCACATAACCACGCAGTCGGCTGCGTGGTATGCTATGAGCATTCCCTACCTCCCTCCCCCGCTTTCCGGAGGGTTGCCCATATTTGCTTCGGGCGCAAAAAAAAAACTATCACATGGAGTGTTTACCCTTAGAATAACGGAATAAGGTTGAATATTCGTTGTAATAAAGGCAATTTCATATGTCGTTCATGTTCATTCACGCTTCTTTTCAAAAACAAATAAAATTTCACGTACCTGTGGTACGAAACACCTCCATTTGAAAGATTTATATTTTTGCTTTTGTTTAAAAGACACTCTAAATGACACTACACTTATATACTCTAAATGGCTGAATCTGAATGACAGGGTGAGAAATTGTGTGATAAGAGAAGAGTATGGTTTGCAAGATGATGTGACCAGGATTAAGAAAGGAATGCTTCGGTGGGTTTGGTCATATGAAAAGAATGAATGAGGAAAGAGTGACAAAGAAAATTTATGTTGCAGAAGTGAATGGCAGAGTCGGAAAGGGCGTTCTAGCGAAAATTTATCGGCCAAATTGGCGATTTATTGAAAACGGGCCAAATTAGGAGTACCCTTAACCTTTTGAGCGCCAAAGTCGTCTATACGTGACCAGCACCCGCGGGCCCTGAGCGCCAACGACGTCTATAGACAAAAAACCCGGCCCACAAAAATATGAAATATAGACATTGGAAAATTATTACTGGTATTTTAATTCTACACCCCTCAAAAACGAATAACCCAGCAACATGTGAGTATAAAAAACAAGTCTCCTAGAGCCACAAGTACTAAGAAACATTGAACTAAAAAAAATGGATTTTTATCTAAGCAAATACTATGTCCAGCACGCCAAAGTCGTCTATGTTTGACCGCTAGTGTTGTAATGCGTTAGGCATAAATTTATTGAAAACTATTCAAAATTAAGCTCAAACGTGTTTTTTTTGTCTATTATTATTGATATTTAAATAAAACAAAAGGTTAGAAATATAAAACTATATTAGCTACATGAATAAAAAGAAAATTATCAAATTATCTTCGCATAATAAATCTAATATCTCAACTCTGGCGCATCCTTAGCGCGACATCGAAAATCAGTTCACTCACTGGGCGCCGTGGTCAAGTATAGACGACACGCTGATGACGTCATAAGCGATTGGCGGGAAAATTAGTGCAGTGCAACATGAACGATTCCTCAGAACTCATTCGGATTTTGGAAAGCGTCGACGATGATGAATTTTCGGAATCTGAATCATTACCTGAAGATTTAAGTGAGGTAGTGTCTTTAAGTTCCTAGTAAATTAAACTTATTTTACTAACATGCATATTGCCTACTTTATGTATCTATTATTTTATAATATTTTGTTTAATTTTAAATATAATAAATTCGATACAAAATGAAACTGTTTCCCGGGCGACTCTTGTGAGCACATTTTTTATGTTTTTGTTTTCGAGTTTAGAATAACTCATCATGTTCGTTTACTTTTATACTGCAACTAGTAGATATTTTTCTGTCAAAAAGCTAATGGTAATATTGTTTAGCGAAATAAATATCTTAAACCATATTTCACAATAATCCTTCCGAAAAGTAGGTACCTTCAGTAGACCATAACATAAATCAACCTAATGAAAAAGCATTAAGGTCCAAAATAGTATATCGACTTTCTACCTTTCGTCATTACAATCGTTTCGAATAGTATTGTGAGTAGACTAAAAATCAATGTAATGGAAAAACATTAAGATTTAAAATAGCGTGTCGACTTAGTACTAAATTGCTCTTTTGTTCTCGGCGGCGACGTTCTTTTTTTGTTACTAACACTTTCGCGTCTTACAGTAATCAAAGGCTTTCTCACACATACAATCTACAATGATAATAATTACATACATTTTTCTTCATGACAAGTTTTCTCGTAAATTGTATTTTTTTTAATCAAAATATTGTATTTTTACAGAGACATGTATTATGACTGGGGTCTTCATCAATTGGACACTTTAGTTGAGAGAGTCGAGTACGATGACAACCACTTTAAATCACTTACACGGTTTGGATATCATGCACTTCATCATTATTTTCCAACGTTGGATCATGCAGAACTGAAATATCTTTATCCTACCTTTCTTGAGCACTGCGAGAAATTTGGAGTTGAATTTCGAACATCCACATATTATAAATCGTTTATCAGTCACAGTAAGCAATTATTAAGGAAACGCCTCAACAATTTTAAAGAATGAAAAACTTTGTACGTTAAATAGATACGCTATAACTTAACGTACAGAAAATACTTCTGACCATACTCTAATAAATGACTTTGGATATTATTTTTCGATGACTAATAAATTAGGATTTTGAACTATATACTTCTTATAAGGAAATAATATTATATTTAAAATATTTTTATTATGCGTATTTATAAAGTAAAATATGTATGTTTAAAAAAAATTATTCATTAATGGTATTAAGTTTTGACTAGTAGGTCTATGGGTAGCGTTTAATTTTGCGAATTAAGAATATAAATTACTATCCTCGATTACGAATCAAAATGCCGATGCGCTCTCACCCGTGAGGACTTAGATGGAATGCCTCGTTTCCAGTAAAGGGGGTCTCCGGTTCTTTACACACACCATACGAAACACAGCAGCATTAAGCTACTATTTGACGCCGGTATTCCGTGAGAGCGTGGTTCTTCCCCGGTTGAGCCGACCCATTCGTGCTACAACTACTCTCCCGTAATATAACTACAGCATGGCTCACCACGTTTAAAATTTGCTTTGGCCAGCTAAACATTTATGTTTTATTATTCCATAAGATTTTTATTATTTTAAGACTAATATTACCTATAATTTATTAATTATTTTTAATTGTTGCTTTCTATATTAAGTACTGATTGAGTTAAAGACCAAGATATTAATATTTTAAGACTAGACCCAGTGAAAATAATTATATACAATTGTTGATTAGTGAATAATTATGTACCAAATTTGTTGATTTATGTAATAACTCGGTAAGACCAAGATATTAATATTATAAGACTGATTTTTCTACTGTGAATATATATATATATATATATGTATACAATTGTTGATTGGGGGATAATTATGTACCATTTGTCGATTTTTATAATAATTACTGATTTTTTTATTCCATGACCAAGATTTTAATATTATAAGACTGATTTTCCTAGTGCGTATAATTATAACAATTGTTGATTGGTGGATAATTATGTACCATTTGTTGATTTTTATAATAATTACTGATTTTTTATTCCATGACCAAGATTTTATAAAACTGATTTTCCTAGTGCGAATAATTACCTATATACAATTGTTGGATTAGTGAATAATTATGTACCTTTTTTATTTTAATAATATAAAATTACAAATAATAAATGTGTTTTTATTTTACTTAAGGTATGAAGAGCAATTTTTCATTTTGTGTTGTGCGATTTTCTTTCTCAATCTCAAAATCATTTAGCAACATCAGCATCATATGAAACCCCCATTGCCATAAGAGCGTGACTTTTCTTCTGTGATTCACTTGACGTACGCCTCGCCATAAAATATTTTGAATCGATGTCTGTATCTTTTGGTTAGATAGATTTTGAAATCGATACACAACGTGCGACACGGCTACATCTCTAAGAAAGTTTCAAAAAGAAAGGTCAGCTACGCCGTTGTCGTCCAGTCGTGACAGTGACGTCATCACGATGGAGAGTAGTGTTGTGGTTTACTACTACTTTATTGTTATTGTTTGTTTTTTATTTATGCACAAAGTACATATATAAAAAGAGTGGAAGACAGCACAAGATTAAATAAAACATACCCGATTATAAAGAGTCATTTATTGTATAAAAAAACCAACAAAAACCAGTTATTTTGTGTTATCGATATATCAACTCTTGGCAGCACTGTTTTTTTCGTAGGTATTTTTGTTTACTTTTCGCTTTGGCGTACAGGACACGGTAGTGAGTTTTTGGCGTGGCGCTCAAAAGGTCCGACAAGCATGTATACGTAGGTATATGGATGTGAAGGAGGCGAAAGAGATCTGTCAGGATCGTGACAAATGGAAGTCTGTAGTCTCTGCTTACCCCTCTGGGTGACAAGCGTGAATGTTTATGTATATGTCTATACTCTAATACTGCACAAAACGGTATAATTTCTCATATTATATTACTGAAGAAGCGATCCGTTAGCTCGCGACAATTTAAGACTGCGACTGACAGTCAAGTATGTTTGATTAGGTTCTACTGTCAATAATTGTGATACGCCTACCCCGCCCACTCTGGCCTTTTTCTTGTTTTTTTTTTATATTGCGTGGGTTCTTTCCACTCACCATACGAAACATGGTAGCATTTAGCAGTTATTTTATGCTGGTATTCTATGAGAGTGTGGTCTTTGCCCAGTCAAGTCGACCTATTCGTGCTACAACACTAATGTAACTACATCATCTACTACCACATATGAAATGCGCACCTCTAATAAAGATAAAATAGTAAACAAAAATATTAATTAAAACACAACATACATTTAAAGTTTTAATTATAATGAATATATTCATGATGTGTAACACTTATTATTGAACACTCAGTTGTTTCAACTTGACAAATAATCATTTAAAAGCAAAATCAAACGGAATAATCGCAGTTTGGCGCCCATGGCACTTACGTTTTGAATTAAATTTTAGCACTACAGCGCTATCACTTTGGTGTAAGTCTCTGCTTATCCCACTGCAATTGGTTAAGGAAATCAATTATATGTAAGTTGGAAAGATCTTTCATTATCTCTTCGAAGTGTATCATGTGTAGCTTTCAACTGGTCAAGTTTTGTTGATATCTGTGCGATCGAGTTGTCGATCCACTGCATTGAAGACATATGCGCGTTCAGAATACGACCGATTTGGACGATCTGAAAAAAATTCAGTAACAAATATTAGGTAAATAAATTTTTGGTTGAATGGAGCAAATCGTTGTAAGAAACAACCAGAAACACTATACATAGCCTCCCAAATGTTCACTGATGAACAAAGGCTGTGCACATGGAACAATATTATTATCATTATACCCTCCAGTTTGCCATAGTTGCCACACATGGCTGGTGGTTTGGTAAACACTATTTTTTTGAATTGTTATCATGAAGATGCTGCTGCCCATCTGTTTCATGCGTCTGTTTTATTTCCCCCTCTATTGCCTGACACCCACAGGATGAGGTGGTTGGTTATTTCACACCGCCATTACTACGATGGAGGTAAACAGTCTGTTAAAAATCGTAAATTAGTTAAATGAACAAGCACAATTTTGACTAAATCTCTCCCTAATGTATTTTTTACGTGCATCATAGTTTGACGATATAGAAAAAGAACTTACAGGGTCGTTTGTATCTTGACTTCTATTGGTCTCATTCAGGTGTTCTATAACTTCTTTCAGGTCTTCGGACATTTGTTTTAGCTGTGTATCTAAATTCTCGGCTAGTGAATACCTGCATTACAAAAGAAACCTAATCAATATTTTGTTAGAAAAATACACAAATACATGCAATATAGGTTGCCTTACGACCTCTGTTGGACATAGGCCTTTTTAAAAATGAGTCAGAATTACAATAACATCAGTATTATATGGAATATTCCTTTCAGCTGCTTTGGACATATTTTCTGCTATTACAGGAGCTTAATTTGGAATTTTAGACAATTTTAGCATATTATCCCCTACAGTCCAGGGTGTAAAAGAGAAAAAATTTACACTACCAACTAATTTTAACATCAATTATCATAACTTTTAACAAAATGTAAAAACCGACTTCAAATTGCTATAAAAGAAGTTATTTATTTACTACCCTTAGCAAATTTATATGGTATAAAAAAGAATCATAATAATTGGTTTACAATCTGCGAAGATATCGCGTAATATACATACAAAAAACATACACTCAAATTGAGAACCTCTCTTTTTAAGTCTGTTAGAAATAAAAAATTGTTTGTTTGTTAAAAGTGAAAAGTAAGAAAAGTAGATTACCACATTCGGATTGCCTAAAAGCGTCGAAATTCCCTTAAATTTGAGAGAATTTTAAAAATCTAATTTAAAACTTAAGCAAGAAAAATAATTAAAAAAGAAAATATATTTTTTTTAATTATAATGATCAGTTTATCATTATACATTTACATTTTGATAGTATTTGTCGCTATTTACAATTTATATCAAAATATCGTTTATTACCGGCCTGTAAAAATGTTTTCATAAAATTGGACTTTCGGCCTCTCCGTTGGAGGGAGGTTTGGGTTATACCACTATACAGAAACTATTCACGAGTTTCAAAACTTTTCGTAAGTACAATGGAATAAAGATTAAGTTTTTCCTATTCTATTAGATGTACAAGAATTTAGGAACAATTATTCTCATAGACATAGATAAAATAATAATGTCCTCCAGACCGAATTCCGGCCACGGCGCCTGCCTCAACAGAGGCTAAGCAATCGGCGCAGGGCAGGGTTATAGTGCCCAAGTGTATGCGCAAGCACAGGTGCACTCTCTATTCCCTCACTCTCATAATCCGATGGGACGGTAAACCGACACGACCGGAGAGAGTACAGGCGCAGGACCAACGGCTTTACGTGCTTTCAGAGGCACGGGGGTAAGACACCGCCAACTTCCTGACTCCGGGCAGCTACTGAGAACTTCTTGACAGAAAAACTCAACAATTGATTTTTTGGCCCGACCCAGGATTCGAACCCAGGACCTCATGATCAGCAGTCGCACTACTACAACCACTAGACCAACGAGGCAGAGATAAAATAACTACTTTCGAAAGGAGTTTCTTGGAATATAGTTCAATATTGTAGGTATCTTGAAAATAAATTAGAATATTTTGCATGCAGGTATATAATAAACACAGTCTTGTCTCAACTCCCGTGTTTGATTGCCGCATCCAAACAATACAAAATCAACAAATATTATGTATAGCATACAGATATATCAAGTTCTGCGCTTAATAAACAGCAAAATTACTACAAAATAAATATTAAAATATTTTTTATTGAACACGTGCAAACGAGCCGCATCTCCCTGATGGAGACTACCGTCCATTAAAAAACTGTTAAGAGTAGGCTTTCATTAAAGGCACCGAAGATGTATTAGTTCAGAAAAATTGCTAGTGGTAGCCAAATCCACAAAGAAGTCGTTTCCGTTAGTGCCACATTTATTTAGTGTATTTTCTGCTGGCTCGGCTGGGCAGCGTTCGGGAAATTACGACACATCTTCTCGTCAGGTATACCTCAAACTCTGAAAACTAGATTTTACAACCAGTGCGTGTTGCCAGTGATGACTTACGGATCTGAGACGTGGTCCTTCACTGCTGGCCGTGTGAGGACGCTCAAGGTCGCTCAGCGAGCTATGGAGAGGGCTATGCTCGGAGTTTCTCTGCGTGATACTCGGAAATGAGCATATCCACAGTAGAACCAGAGTGACCGACATAGCCCAACGGATTAGTAAGCTGAAGTGGCAATGGGCCGGCCATATAGCTGGAAGAACCGATAACCGATGGGGAAGAAAGGTTCTCGAGTGGCAGCCTCGTACCGGTAGGTGTAGCGTAGGGCGGACCCCCCCACTAGATGGAGTGACGACTTCGTAAGACATGCAGGAAGTCGATGGAAGCAGGTGGCTCAGGACCGTGCAGTGGACTTGTGAAGGGCTGTAATGATGATGATGAATGATATTTTCTGGTGTACTTACAAATGTTCTCTCTCGGGGTCACGCAGCCTATCGCCGGTTTCGTTGACCAGTTGTTTTTCCATCGGGGTCAGGATGTCTTCCAGTTCTTTTTGTTGTGCCAACACGAAGTCTAGTTCATGTTCCAAGCTCTGCTGCTCGTTTTTAACCGTCTGGATAGTGTCGTTCAATTCTACGATCTGTTGAAAACAAGTAATGGTATTTATAGTAATTTCTTTTTATTCTTAGAAAAAGGGCTTTGTCGCTGAAGCGATTATGACGCCCTGGTACAACAAAATTCTTAAATAGCATAAATACTAACAACTAAACTTATTAATTACTTAATCTCTTATTTACTTAACACATAAAGCTTTATGGCATCTTCTGATAACGGGTCTGATAAAATACTATTAATACTGCCGATCAATGACAAATGTGAAATACAATTTTTTCTTTCTCTGGATTTCTGGGCACATTCTATCAAAATGTGATAAACATCGTCGAAAAGGTTGCAAGTTGAACAGTTTGTTGAGGTAGTTTTTCGCATCAAGTATGAAAATTTATTGCATGGAATGTGCCCAGATCTGAGTCAGAATTACAGTTCAATTATTAAAAATCTTTGGCTTAAATAAGTCCAGAGATAGTTGCAAAATTTTGCGCCAACATTAAGACGATTTATGGTAAGTGTGTTATGTAAATAATATTAAAATCTAAGAAAACTTGAAAAACACTCTTTACTTTGCAGCTATGATGATTTAGAAATAATTATCTTGGTGATCCTGATCAGGATTTCAGGATAGTTATTAAATTATTGTATAATCATCCATCTTTGATACAAGTACAAATTTTCAAGTCATTTAGCCGTCTACAAGTTGGTGAAAATTACATTAAGATTCAATTTCTGAAATACAGGTATTATATCCTAGTTTAGGGCCTAATGACCACTGTAAATTTTGTGCAAGTAATATGTTTATCAATAAAGATTATTACTATTATTACATAGATACAGATGAAGCTAACAGAAGCATGTAAAAATAGATTAAATCATCAAAATTAAACATAATGTCAGATGAGCTTAAAATTAAGGTTTATGAAATAATAACCTAGTGTTAATTAGATAGATAAGATAGAACCTGTATATTTTTGGAAGTTTGATTTCTATTTACTATAATTATGTATTATAACTTAATTTTTTTTACTAGAATAAGGGTGACAAATAAAGCACGGTCCACTTGATTGTAGATGGATGCTGTAGTACAGAATAATGGGTGCGTTTGGCAGAAAAAAGCGCTAGCAAGCGCTTGTAAGCAAAATGGCGATCGTAAGCGGTAAGCGCTGTCAAATCGTAAGTAGCTATTTTCCTCCAGGACACGATGCTAGTTTTAACCGGGGAACCTAACTTAATTTAAATATATGATTGTAAAGTATTCATATTAAAAACTTACCAATCATGAATTTTTAATAACATGTATATGTTTATTCATGTCAATATATTACTTAAAACTAATATTGCACAAAACAACTTATAAAATCCACTTCAAAACAAACAAATTAAATAAGCAAACTATTTCAGCGCTTGTAAGCGCTTGCTAGCGCTTTTTTCTGCCAAACGCACCCAATATTACATTACGATACAAGGGACTTAAGTAGCTGATTATTGAACTGTATTCTTATCTTCTTCACACGCGCACGAACGAAGCGAGTGCACTAACTTTACACGTTTCAATTATCGGTTACTGAAGATCCGTGTATCGGTACATAATTTTATAGTACAAGTGGCTCAAATCTTCGAAAATTTGACTTTAATCCAAATTCAAGAAAACATTTGAAATTCAAATCAAACAAAAATGATCTTTCTGAGAATTCTACATATAAAATATCAACATCACGTCCGAATGCAGAAGTTTTGTTAGTAAATACAAATACAGATAATCAAAAAGTTTCAGTACAAGAATTACAACATCAATCTAAAGATTTAATTAAACGGGACCAAAGGTGCAACAAGACTAAATTTACAGAAGTTTTGTATAATCCAGATGTTGGCTGATATTTAAATGATTTATCAAACTGAATTCACAATGGTCTTATTTTTTTAGCAATTTTAATGTATAATAATTGTACTTTAAAAAATACAGTTCAAGCTAAAATAGTACAAAAATTACAAAATAAACTAAAATACTACTATAATAGTACAAAAAATTAAATATATATCTGCATGATTGATTTTGTCTAAATTTGATTTAATAATGTGTTTTTTTTTGTAAACCGCCCTATTTTTTGTCCCGATGTCGAATAGTGCTAAGTGAGGCCCTTATCGACCTTGACGTAAACAATAAATGTATGAAAAAAGATTTTTGTTTTAATTTTTTATAGTTAAATATGCTTTTGACGTACAAGTAAAACAAATAGTACTTGGAATAAAGGCTTTAATTTATTATTATTACACCATTGCAAAAATTGACGAAAAAAGCACTTTTCTTACTTTCACTTTCAAATTAGTATCACTTTCGAAGTAAACCTGTATTCAAATTATACATAATCTGATAGCTTATTTATTAAAGTTTCCATCGATATATGATTTTAATATGCCTTTCATGCGAAATGTCTTGGAAAAAGTAATTTTAATGAACAGCACGAAGTAGTCTGGAAGTACTTCAGAAAGCGCTTGACAGATGCGCCATATTGGCCAAAATGGCCACAATCAGTACAGGGGTTAAGTAAAACATACTTTACAATAATCGGCTAGTTAAGTCCCGCATGACCGTGACTTAAACGTGGTTTTAAGTCACCGTGTACTATAAATAACAGTACTACGTACAGAAGTTGCAGTCCTTTGATGTTGACTGCTTGCCGACGTTTTGATAGCCTATATAATTACTATTTATTCATAAAACTTCATTTCTGCGTGCGAATGTCCGTATTACTTTACTTTTTACCGCTTCTTTGCTTGGCACGGATGAAATAAGTGGTGTAAACAGCAAATAAACCCGAAAGGGGGCATTCCATATTAAGTCCTCACGGGTGACAAAGCATTTGCATTTAGATTCGCAATCGAGGATCTATGTGGATGTCTACACATATTCGCAATCGATGTGATGAAAATGTGGATGTCTACACACACGCACACACACACATACACACGGGCCACAGCAACCGCTTACCATCAGGTGGGCCTGTGCTCGTTTGTCACCTTCTCCTATATAAAAAAAAATTAAATGTGATCGCATTCTACTTAGTTAAAAATCTTTTTAAGAAAGTTTTAATTTCAGTATTTTTTGTTATTATAACTTAAAATATTTTAATTACAAAACTGGAGTATAGGTATGTAAGTAGGTACTTGGATAGTGAAGTAAATTTCAACTAAGTTTTGTAATAAATTACTGAGGTATTACTTCTGTAGTTAAATTATTACTTCATTCCTTTTTCACTATAAGTAACTGTCTAACAAAAAAAAAAAATGAAATAAATTCACCTTTCATTATCTCGATCCTCGATTAAAAATCAAAACGTAGAAGTGTTTTCACTACATAGAATGCCTTGTTACCAGTAAAAAGGGTCTGTGTTAAAAATACTATAAACTAAATTATAACTCCCCATAGACTTCCATTCTCAACACCCATAAAACTTAGCATAGACTTGGTATTGGTAATTCTGGTACCTTAACTGGAACCGTATCAAACATTTGCATCTTAATTACAGCTCAAATGAAGAATCAAAAAGTTTGGAACGGGTGTGAGGCTTGCTGTGGACTATTTGCATAAAAGATGTATACTATAAAAGTAAAGTAATAACAGCCTATATACATCTCACTTCCGGCTTCCTCTGATTTTTGAAAAGGTTTAGGACCAGAAAGTATCCACAGCACTGATCCACTGCATGGTAGGGGATTTCCCACTCATGTGAAATATTTTAAGGGTAAGATTTACCAAGTATTTCTTGGTTGGTATTGGTATCACCTTCTTACAACTTACTTTTTACTTTAAAGGGTAAGAGTGTAGTTAAAGTCTGTAAAGAAATTCATCCTAGATATCAACTATATATTATATCGACTATTTGGTTCAACAAGCCCAAGACCACGTTTTATATGTGGTAGAGCCATGCTGCACTTATATTAGTAGTATAGTTGTAGCACGAATGGGTCGGCTCGACCGGGGAAGTACCACGCTCTCACAGAATACCAGCGTAAAATAGTAGTTTAATGCTGCTGTGTTGCGTATGGTGAGTGTAGAGAACTGGAGACCCTTTTACTGGAAACGAGGCATTCCATCTTAGTCCTCACGGATGACAACGCAACTGCATTTTGATTCGTAATCGAGGATAGATGTATCTATGGGCCACAGCAACCACTAGTCAACAGTTGGACTGTGTGCTCGTTTGTCACCCTATCCTATGAAAAAAAGACCAACTCTTGTTAGATGAATTGACCGCTAACCAACCCGTTCTTTTACCATTGTAACCTTGAACTATAGTTAATATCATTACCATCTCTCCATTAGCGATGAGCAGTCTATCCCAAGCGTTGATCTGTGTGGCTTGGTTTATAAATATCTTCTCTTGTTCTTCCAACTCCAGGGTCCATTTGTTTATGTTCTCTTCAAGTTGTGCGAATGTTATTGAGCTAATTGGTTGCGGCGGTGCTGCGGCTGTTGTACTGTAACAAGTATGTGTTGTTTAAAATAAGAGCCGTGGTAGCTCAGATGGTTAACGCTCACTGTATATATTAGAAAGCGAGTAACCCGGGTTCGATCCCCGCTGGCACCAATGAAATTTTTAATTGCAATTTTACGTGCTGATTTACCACGTGCTCGGCGGTGAAGGAAAACAACGTGAGGAAACCTGCATGACTGAGGGATAAGAAAAAAAATTATTTCGAAGACATTTAAAATTCGCCAACACGCATTGGGGCAGCGCGAACGGACACTTTCTTGCCCTACAACCCTCTCAGAAATGAGGGGAGGCCTATGCCCAGCAGTGGGCCGTATATAGGCTGTAACTTTACTTTAACTTTTATTGTTTAAAATAAAATTCATATTGCGGTGATCTACCTATGAATATTGTAATCAGTGGTATGTCTGTTAGTGATTGTGTAACTTCTGAATGAGTTGCTACATTGAGCTTAATACTCAAACAATGGTTGCGTTTGGCAAAAAAAAAGGCTAGGAAGCTCTTGTAAGCAAAATGGCGAAACTAAACAGTTTTCGGCCAGGACACATTTGGTTTAACAATGACATCGGGACGTCAGTCACCTCAGTCCCCCGTGACCATGGGTGCTGCAAAGCACCCGAAACGTCGGGAATTAAAAATTAAAATAATCAAAAGTATAATTAAACGCGATAAAATCCGTAAAAGTAGTTTTAATCAATGTGTAGTGTTCGCGTAAATATAAGAAATCATTATTTTAAAACTTAGTTTGTATTAGACAACTTACGTTGTAGTGGTAGTTAATGTTGGCATAGTAGAAGCTGCGGTAGATTTACCCAGTGACAGTACACCAGAGGGCGCTGATGTGGCTGAAAAGAAAATGTTAAATAGTAACTATGCTACTAATATTATACTAAGTCTAGAATAAAGAAAATTTTATTAATTTATAATATTGTGGCCGTGGAAGGAAAAGGGGAGATCTCCCGCCTGGCAAGGTGTTCTGCCCGGGAGGCGGCTCACACTTCATGTGATAGTTCGGAGATGTTCTATATATACTGTTTATGATTCGGAATGTTGATAGCGTGATTTAGGCTTCGGTGTATTTAGCTTGTGGCGCGACGATAGCGCCGCCACATCGCCCCCTACTCAGACCGGAGGTCGATAGTGCAGTCCGATTGCCGGTGTGTCCTTTTAATGCCGGTGGGGAATAGGCATGTCGATTCACTCTTAAAAAATCGATCTCTGAATCGATTTGAATCGAAAACACTAGAATCGATTATCGATTAAATCGAGGATTAAAAGATCGATTTTCGATTAATCGCGACATTTTTAAACATGAAATTTCAAGAATTTGCGATTTTTTCTTTAATTGAACTTTAATATTTTTTTAAATAAAATATTAGTAATTTTAATAATTAACATTATTAATATTCCTTTTAACCACTCCTGGTAAGCTTGAAACGCTTGTGTTAGTAGTGGTTTGCACATAAGCCACTCGATCCTTTTTTTACAAAGTGATTCCATGTATCACTTTTATTTGACATTTTAGGCTAGAAACAACAACAATACTTTAACAAAAGTTCAAATTGCAACGTACATTTCTTGATAAATCTGTTTCAATCTAATAACTCACTATTTATCAAATTGAAGTGAATGCTACACGAACACAATACTGGTTATTTCCTTACTATAAACCTCTATAAATTTCAACATATGATATTTATTTACAGTATATAGGTATTTAAAAAGTACTCTGTCTGTACTTACAGCTCACAGTATGTATGTTTTTGATAATAAATAAAGTAAATTCACAAGTTCACAGTACAAACAGGTTCACAGCTTTAATATATTGTAGTATGTATATGTAGTCTTTGTTCACAGCACAGATTAAGTTAGACCAACATTCCACAGGTAAGATTAGAATTAGAATTTTAGAAATGAAAATGAAATGACAACTTTTCGATATTGTTGGATGCGTTCATAAATATTTATTTTATTCAAATATATATTGAGTTCAAATTATCAACCAAGTATGACCGGTTGTTTTTGCGTCCCCAACAGCAAAAAATTAAAAAACTGCGGTATCTGACCCAGCCAGTTTGGGAATTTTATCGCTAGTTCTTGAATCAGATGTATCAGTCCGATTCGAGTGGTTTTTGGATCGATGCGGTGCTCGGAATCGATCTAAAAGATCGATTATTTTACGCCAAAGAATCGATTTTTTCGATTAATCGATTTAAGATCGACATGCCTAGTGGGGAATGCATGCTGTGTGCGTAAGGGCAAGTGACACCGGTGCGAATGATATGCCGATGTGTAATGCATGCCGTACTACGCACTGGCAAGTGATGCCGGTGAGAACGATGTGCCGGAGCAAGTGCCAGAAGTCTGGCTTATAAATCTGCGGTGAGTCGAGATGAAGACAAGTTGCACTGGCTTGCAGGAACTGAAGACTGCGGAAGACGATTCTCAATAGTGAATGGTGGGAGTTCTTGAGGATAATAACGAAGGCTTGAAGTTGTAGTTTCCGAAGGTTGTTGGTTGCGTGTTCAGATCACGTCGGATGGTCACCACTGTGGCCATGGAAGGAAAAGGGGAGATCTCCCACCGGGCAAGGTGTTATGCCCGGGGAGCGGCCAACACTCCGTGTGATAGTTCGGAGATGTTCTATATATACTGTTTATGATTCGGAATGTTGATAGCGTGATTTAGACTTCGGTGTATTTCGCTTGTGGCGCGACGACAGCACCGCCACAATATAAACAATAAATATTCTGAGATTGCAAAGTTTTTGGATCCAAGTCTAAAACAGTAAGTATAAAAAATCATTAAAGAATTAATGATTTCTTATATTTACGCGAAACACTCATAGAATAAATTTTATTTACGGATTTTTCACGTTTAATTTTAACTTTTTTAATCAAAAAAGTTTAAAATGAAACGCGAAAATATCCATCAAATTACTCTTATAACATGAAGAATTAAACTATTGAGTTCACCAAACAGTTCAAATATTAAGCCTGGTTACTTTTCAATTGTATGTATATAATGTATTTAGTATATTAATTTTGTTGCCATGTGGTGGCCACCTAAAAAATATAAGGTAGGATAGGCTAAGATAGGATGGTTTTTAAACCGATAAGTAACCCTTATTTTTTATTGGAAAGTCGTCGGAAAGGGCAGAACAACGTCTGCCTGGCCAGCTAGTATATATACATAAGCAAGGCGTAAAATACCCAGACCCCTCACTGGGCAACAGCCAAATAGAAACAGATTTTTTAAAATTCAATATAGATTATAAATGATAGTTTCAAAGTTACTTTTATGTTTAATTTCCCATTGTTTCAGAAAATACCTCTGTTCTGGAAAACCAGCAAGAAACCCAGCGTCACTTTAAAAAACAAGAAAAGTTTACAACAAAGACATTTAAGTATGTAGTAGTAATAGACCGGACATCAGCAATAAAATTGTGGCCTGTAACTTTTGTCCTATTGTATATATCTCCGATTTTTGGCATTTAGTGTAAGTGACATCAACAAAAGGCCAAGACGCATTCGTTTCATAAATTAAAAAAAAATTTAAAGAAAATATGCCCGGTTGTGCATTAAGGTATAGTAAGTCACGATATAGAGCAAAAAATGAACATGATTTCGGTTTATTATCATAAGAATAATGTATATTTACCAAATAATCTTTAAATTTTATTATTTATGGTAGATTGTTCTAGATGAAAGAAAAATTATTATAATAAGTGCACTCTGTTATCCAGTAACGTCACTATTTATTTACAAATATGTTAGTAATTGACGACGTGCCTAAAACAGATTTTTACCTTATATTTAGAAGCGTCACTTTATTGTAAATAGCTAAAATGTTTTCCAAATAAATATTCAGCGTAGTATTGCTATTTTTCGCTAGAGGGCTTAACACAAGCGCGTGCTCACAGTTTTTCGACGCAAATGTTCCTAATGTACGCTCTATAGTATATATCGTCTGCTTACTGGTAAAAAAGATAAATGCATTTTGTTACTAAATCGAGTTAAAAAAGCAGTAACATGTAATTTTTTACGTGCTAACTGGTGGTAAAACCGAATAAATGCAGAGTCCAATGACTGCAGAGATAAAGAGTTTGTAAAAGTGATATCTTCACACATTTTGAAAAATATACCAGTAATATAATAAATAATCTTATGGTTTCTATTCGTTTGTTTATACAGAACAATAAATACGATTAAAGTTTTTACATTCTATAATTTAAATAGTAAAATGGTAAGAATTTTTCTGTGAAAAGGTCATAAACGCATTTATTATTATGAACCATATAATTTAAATACCATAACTATAATAAAAATATTTATTCCATTTTACCAATTAAATAATGCTACTTGGTTTGCTAATGTATCTACAGCAAAAACGAAATAAATGTCATTTATGCTTTTTTACCTGTAGGAACAAGAGCGATCGATCGCAGTTGTAACATTGCGTGCGCGCGTGCTCCACGTGCTCAGCGTAGAAATAAAAGTTTTAATAGGTCAATAGTTTAGTAAGAAGTTGTGTTTTATTATAACTATGGAATCCAGAGGAAAAAGATTAGTGTCTACGATAAATAAACCTAAAATACGTAAAGGTGAGCGATTTAAACTCTAAATTTTATATAACAAGGCTAAATTTTAAGGTTATATTAGTAGCTTTTGTTTTGTTCAACGATTTCCTTATGGAATGTTTGCTCGTACTCTTATAGTACTTTTAGTACGTACATAGCTTTTTTACAATGTATGTAGGTTCGTACAAAGTTTGTATGATTTCTAACTCCATTTTTAAGGTTACGATTGTGCTAGACTTTGTTTGTTTCAAAAATGTACGTAATTATTGTTTTAAGTAATTACTTGAGTGGGTATATGGCTCCGTAACACTTATGTCGGTACCTACAAAGTTTCTATTATACTCACTTTCTTTCCATTGTTAACACAGAATGATGAGTTACTGTCAAGGTTAAGCGCACGATTCATTGTTTGTTTACATTATAATCTTATAATTATCTACTTTTGTTTCTTTTTAATTTTTTCACAGATGACTTGGATGAAGAGCCTGGCCCTTCGCATCAAAGGTTTTGTAGCCCGTCTTCGAACTGTACTTCGGCTTTGAGCGACTCTAGGGAGAGAATAGTGGCGGAAATGGAGCGCATGTTTGACAGCGATGACTCTGATAAAGATCCCACTTATAACCCGGATCCAAGCTTTTTATTACAACCAGAGGATTTATTTGGAGAACAATGGGCGAATAACAAGGTTGAGAACTTAGAAAATGTTATGCGATTCTATGGAGACGATCATGACGAAGAATTTCAACCTAACGACGGCGACGTTATGATCGCACAGGTGTTGCCAACATCTGATGCACAACAAGTCGTAATATCTCTTTGGGGACTCTTATTGAAAGGAGTATTCGATGCTACTCGGAAAAGGAATCGTTGGATGAAACCAGAACCTGAAAATTGGAAAGTAAATATCGCGACGAAAAGACGATCTGAAGGTTTAATTTATTCAACGAGAAAAAAAGATAGGAGTGCTAAAACACCAAAAGAGTTTGACTGTGAGAAATGTTTCTATAAATATAGTGTAATCTCTACAGAAGAAAGAAATAATTTATGTCATCACTACTGGAGTTTGAAGTATACCGAGCAAAAGAATTTCATTCTCGGCAATGTGGAAGCAGATACTCCGAAGAGAGTTCTTGCTATTCGTGGACCAAAGAAACAGCGTCAACTCACAAAAAGATGTTTCTTCTTTTCACAACGGAGAGAAGAAGCAGGTATGTCAGAAGTTTTTTTGTTACACGCTAGCTATTTCTCAGACTGTTGTGAATGATG